CTGTATTCATGTCTCCGCCAGAAATTTGTGACGACATCATTTAAAAGCAGGTAAGGAGAATGGCGACACTATATATTAGATGGCACATTGAACGAGCGAATGTGCCAAAATGCGGGTATAAACAATTATTGATTATTTAATATCGGAACCGAGATCATATAAGTTAATTGATTGGTTTTCACACACTTTTGCAACACAAATTACATATATGCTTTTTTACTGCAGACAAGCTGTTGCCCCAAACACACNTGAATTTTTCCGTCATTTCACAATTGCTAGCTTAAAAAATCGCGGAAATAAAATTTAAAGATATATCATATTATATTAACAGATCCTGTCGAAACAGTGACTGACGACGAAAAGAAGTATCAACTTATGACAATCTATCATAACGACCCAATAAGTGGAGGACATTGTGGACTCAAAAGACTGTATGCAAAAATTCCTACTAAATATTTTTGGAAAAACATGACCCGAGATATATCAAAATTCGTAAAAAGTTGTGAGATATGTTTACTGAACAAAGTTCAACCTAAGAACAGAGAAAATCTTGTCTAAACACCCACACCTAGTAAACCTTTTGAAGAAGTGATTATTGACACAATAGGCCCTTTCCACAATCAAGATTTGGTAACAAGTTCNTTACATTTAGCAATAAAATAAAGCTACATTTTCCAAACAAAAGTGCAATGGTAAAATAAGATAAATCAGTTGAATAGCCTTTATAAAATGCCTTCACANTGGTAACAAGTTCGCGATCTAACAAAATATTTAGTAACTATCGCGATACCAGACAAAAGTGCCAAAACTGTGGCTTCAGCTATTTTTGAAAGCTTCCTATTAATATACGGAACAATGACTTCTATTAGAACTGATTTAGGAACTGAATATAAGAATGAAATTTTATCAGAACTTACAAAACTTTTAAATATAAAACACAGCTTTTCAACAGCACATCACCACGAAACCGTTGGAACGCAACCATAGAGTTTTTAACGAATATTTACGCTTATTTGAGCGAAACATTTTCTGACTGGGACACTTACTTATTTGAAATATTTTACCTTTTTACATAATACAACGTCTAATACTGTATTTGATAACCAATTTACTCCTTTCGAACTAGTTTTCGGAAGAAAAGCAACTTTACCGCACGAATTGCGAAGGGAAAAGATAGACCCGATATATAACGCCGAAAACTATGCGAAGGAGGTAAAATACCGTATGCAAAAATCACATGCAATAACCAAAGAATTAATTAATAAAAAAAAATCCGTAATAAAGATTTGTATGATAGACACTCTCGTTCAGTACAGATTAAAGAAAACGATCTGGTGCTAGTACAAAAAGAACCCAGAATCAAACATGAAAATATATATGACNGTTTAAAATATATACAAATTTTATTTCAACGTATACAAAAAATAAATCTAGCTGCGTTACACCACGGCGGGAGACGGGGGAGGGAAGGGGGGAAAGGGGGGGGTTGGCCGGGGGGCCGCGTCGTAGCGTGACGTGGTGTGAGCGCCGGTCGCGAGCGCGAGCGCNCTCACGTTGTAACCAAAGTAGATGGTGTTAATATTACTATTTTCGATAAAAAGAAAGATAAAGCAAAGACGATCCATAAAAATCGAATACGAAAAGTCACATAAATTAGTTTTGCAAATTTGCAATTACATATGAATTTCTATATTTCAAGAAAATTTCAAATTTAACTAAAATGAACTTTTCACGTCACTTATACAAAGATAATGTACTTAGTTATAATGTTTAAATATTAAGTTACACCAGTGAATTAAATTTATACATAAAAAAAGTCCAATAGTAAATAAGAAAAATATTAGGATTACAAGAAAAATGATAATACTAATATATTTAATTTAATATATTTCACAATGCTAAATTGGTAGATTAAATTACTAGAATTAGTTAATTAAGACCAAATAATAGCGTTTATTAGTTCCAGTGGAAAACTTCTTTTCGAATTCAGTAAATATCTACAAGTTGATATGGACGAATGAGTTAAGAGGGGAAGGAAGTAATCTTTTGATTATGCATCTCATTCCTCCACATCAATTTGCCATCGCCTCTTGGAGCAAGGATGGTGATGTAATGGTAACCCTATCGATATGGCAGCGCTATTCAGCACTGTCATACGGTTGGTACTACTGCCAACCTAAAAACAGTTATTTTCTTCCACTTGGGCTAAGGCGTCAGTTTTGCCAAAAAGAAAAGGTTAATTCGTATCTCGCCTTACAACTGATCGGACACGCGCTCCAATAAAATTTAATTAGAATACAAATTTAAATAAAAGAAGTTTTCTTATTTCAATCGCAAGTAGTTTAAAGGTTCTGAAGTTTTAATATTAAATACTAATATTAGTTTCGTGGCTACACTCCAGCAGCCGTCCCTTCAGGTGGCCAGCGTACCGGAGCGGCCATATCTTGGTGTTACCATCAGGGCTGCCAACTATACTTAGGTATGAACTGCCATATTGGGGATAAAAAAGTGCCAAAATGCGCCAAATAGAAAAATAAAAGTGCCAAAAAAGATGCCATTCGTTTAAATTCTTCCCATTTAGTATTTAAAGTTGAAACACGTTCCTAAAACAGAAGTCCAATGCCAAGGTAAGATAAACCAGTTGCATACACTATAGAAATTAGAAAATTGTAGTTGAGAAAATGAAGTACACGCAAAGAATTTTACAAAAATGTATTGAAATTTACTATTTTTCAAGTGTCATTTTGGCACTTTGTGCCAAATTAAAAAGTGAAGTGCCATTTGAAGTAAAATAGGGCCAAAAATGGCACGGTTTGAGCCAAGTTGGCAGCCCTGGCTACCATAAGCGCCGCTACTACCAAGACGACGTGGGACCCCATCAAGTAAGAGGTACGCAAGGTGGGGCGTAACAGCAGCATTTATAAGGAAAATATTTGTCATTTCTGGTTCCAATTCCTTCAGAACAGAAAGCCATGCACTTATTAGACGTCTTAGCAATTATATTACAACAAAAACATGTCAAAACCGTCAGGTAAGTGTGATATTTGCCGTCAAATTTTACACTAGTCCTACGGGCTCGGCAATTTTTATTCACCTCATAGTTGTCAAAAATTTACCGTCCAGAGTAGTTTTCTATCAATTGGCACAGGCCCTATAATTAAAAAAAAATTAAATTTTTATGAAGATGCACTAAATTTAGAATTTATTTCTAAAATATCCAAAAAATGCATTTATTCCGAAATATGCCGAAGTATGCTCTAACAAATATGGCTAAAACGTTTTATCTTTTTATAATTAGTATTTCCTTTTTATGCATTTTGTTTTAAAGTATAAGAAAAAAACATGCTTGAGCATATTTGTGGTTGCCCTACCCATTAGTTTTGTAGTGCCAACCACTGCGTATTACTGACGATGTATTTGCCTGTCGCATCGCATTGCTCTTTCGTATCGCATTTCCATGCTATGAAATCTTAACTATTGAAATTTAGCGTCAGAAATCACGAAAAAATTAATTTCATACGAAAGCTCAAATTGTTCTGTCGATTCGTACGGGTTCTGATGAACAATTCGCGCACAAACAAACCACTCTCATTAGAAGTCCGTTGGATATCGTTTGCAAATTCAGTAATGATAATGCCCGTAGCGCTAAACGCTAAACCCAACGTATAAATCATCGAACTTTAATTGTGTGTACAAGTATGAAAATTTACTCACCAATCCGTTGGGCATCGTTTGCTGATTTAAATTCAAATATTGATAGTGATCATTGTATCCAGTTGAGTTAAAACAACGCATCTCAGGACTCAACGTATACAGCATTGAACTTTCATTGCCTGAAGTGAAAGATGTTTAATTCAATATTAGCTTGTTCCGTCAATCAACTTACCAAAAAACTGTGATTTTAAGGACCACGACACTGGACAGAATCCTGCAAAAACGTAACGATCCTCATCTTCAACGACCAGGAGCGTAGGCCCCTTATTGACAATTTTAGCAAGCATTGTTGAAAAACTCTCGCCCATAATTTTTGATGAAAACAAAAAACGCCATTTATTGCGATACTCATTCGGTAAATTGCTGTTCACAAATATAATATGTGGAATGTCTAAAATTGGCGTATAATTCGTGCCAGTCGCTAAACCTGAGGAAACATAGTAAACGAAAAAATTTTTTTAATAGATTATGTATTAATCTGGATATTTACCATCTAATACTGGTAGTAAATTGCAGGACAAGCCAATTCCCGATTTAAAAGACTTCGAAGACTTTTTGCTATACACGTAAGTGAAAACATCACGCCACAATATCAGGAAAGTGGGATTTACTCGTAGCCATTCTTCCAACATGCGTAAATTAAGAAAATGATCATGATCCTGACTCATACTTCGAATGAGCCCTCTAGAAAATGCATAAACTGACCGATCGGAAGACTGGTATCCGTGTTGGTTCCAACTCTCAAATGCTTCCATAGACTGCAACGACTTCAGATAACTCTTTAAAACTGCAGCTACATACTGTTAAAAATATGAATATTTGATTGTTTAAATTTTAATATATTTAAAATTTTTTGATAGCGTTTTAATATTTCTACATTTTATTTATCATTTAAGCAATGTGCAAAACTAACATAAAAATATTTGACTTGGACACTACTGTGAATCTAACTTTTTTCGTCAAATTCTTTCGGAATAATTGAGATATGGTGTATTAAATAGAAGCTTATAAAGCAGAGAACGCAAACAAGCAATAGCAAACGTTTCGGTATCGTTTAGTTGCGCTCATACAAGGTAACGAAATACAACCGATTCAAATCACTCGGAAACTCTGCTAACGTTCGCGATAGTTAACACGATGCAGCAAAATAAAGGTGGCGCCCAGGGTTGGCACCCCACGAAACCGATTTCGTAGCAAAATACCAGAAAAATCTTAGTAAAAATTAAAAAATCGTAGCGAAGGATAAAAATTGGTTATTATTTTAAACTAGCAAACCCGGCGAACTCCGTTTCGCCACCAGATGGCTTCGTTTCTTGTAACATTTCGTTTGGGGATTAAAAGATGAAGAAAAATTATTTTTTGTTTGTTTTATATTTGAAAAGGAAAAATTTTATTTCATTTCACAACAGTAATGTATTCATTTCGATTACAAAAATGAAGTGTAATTTAGTTGAACTTCTCTAAGTAAAAAATCTGAATCGAAGCGTTATACGTGTCCGCAAATTATCTGTTTCATTGAAGTGCTCTTTGGTAAACCACATTTTTTGTTTTTTGGTCTGTCGTTAACACAAACAAAGCGGATGGTTTCCCAACTCGTGAACACGCAACGTATAGCTGCCCATGTGAAAAACAATGATTTTCTAAATTTATCCCGCAAACACTAAGCGATTGGCCTTGCGACTTGTTAATTGTCATTGCGAATGCAAGGCGAACCGGATATTGCAATCTTTTGAAGTCAAACGGAAGATCAGTCGGAATCATTGGTATTCGAGGAATACATACATTTTCACCTGCGTACTTTCCGTTAATAATGGTTGCCTCAATCAAATTCGGCATAAGTTTTTTCACTGCATGTCGAGTACCGTTGCAAAGTCGCGGTGGATTCAAATTACGCAATATCATAATAACTGAACCAACTTTGAGTTGCAAGTTATGTGGTGGAAATCCTGGTAACTCCAGAGAGTTCAAAAACTCTGTTGGATAATTTACAACATCATCGGAATTTGTTATGGAATCAACGGATTTGTATGTCACCAAATCGCCATCGATTTTTGATTGAATGGTGAAATTCAGTGCGTGTACATCATTATTCTTTGCGGCGAGAATTGCTCGTTGACTTGACCAAGCATAATTCTGATAATTCTCACTACTGTTTGGGAAAACATTTTCAATAAGAGCTAATTGAGAGTCTACAAATCGGCAAAAGTCGTTGGTAAGAGTAATTAATCCAGTTGTCGCATCAACTGGAACTTTTCCATTTCCAACAGCTAACAATTGTTTGGAAAATTGTGCAGCACGACAGTTTAGGCGCGTCTGCTAACACCAGGCGCCTAAATACATGCTATGTACTGCTGCATGAGCAAAAATTTCCTTTATGCAATTTTTGCACATGCACTTCTCAACTGCCATGTAATTGAACTTTCTTAAGTTCTAATTAGATGGCACTTCAAAGTATGCTCTGCCTAGTCGGATGCATCCTCCGGACACTGCTTCCGGAGCATTTTGCGGACTCTGCATGACTTACAACCATGCAGAGGTGGCAAACGAACTTTGCCATTGGCCACAGTGCCTACCCACCATTTTTGAACCAATAAATATTTTTTTTTATATAAATACATACATGCAAACTTACCTGTCTCCCCTCTCACTGAGTTATTCAACGACAATGTCTCGTGATGTAGTTGGATCGCCAACAGTAATTGCAGCAACATCATCAACGGTGGGTGCATTGAACCTTCGTACATGTTCACCTGTTGGGGTACGATCCGCTCTTATGACAAATTTGTGCGTATCCGATGGCATTCGTTCCAATGCTGTTTTGAACATATTAACCACAGCGTTATTAGCGTGAAAAAATGCTTGCAACTGTTCAATAATTCGTATCTTTAACTGTTGTGTTCCCTGTATATTGCACCGCACATTCAGCTGATCCACCATCGACGAAATGAAATATATTTGCAGAAATTGATGGGGTTCATCTGCTGTTGGCGCCATTGAACCATGCAAATGCTCTATCTTAAAGCATTCATGAACAGCTTTCATTTGATACCCATATTGAACAAATACACCCAAGGTTACCCAGGTCCACGTTTTGGTCTATATCTCGAGACCCTAGTCACCCAGCTATATGAATAGTGCTCTATCTTAAAGCATTCATGAACAGCTTTCATTTGATACCCATATTGAACAAATACACCCAAGGTTACCCAGGTCCACGTTTTGGTCTATATCTCGAGACCCTAGTTATTTTTTAAAAATTTTCTTTGCTACAAACTTCACGGAGCCCGAGCCCTTCCCAACGAATGCAAAACCGTGGGAATCGGTTCGGCGGTTCTTGAGTTACAAGATTACCAAGGAAATGTAACTTCTTTTTATATATATAGATGCAAGATGCATATGCATATTTAATGTTTTAAAACAAAAACATAACATTTGAATTTCAATAACATTTGTACTCTTTTAAGTATTGTATTATATTTGTTTTTTAGTGGCGTTTTCCAAATACCGAACTTATCCCAGCAAAAAACACGATTACCACAGAAACGAAAGTGGAAACGAGCTAGGCGATGGGAATTGCTTACCCTTTCGCTGCAAGAAGGCCTTCTTTTAACATGGGCATGCCATTGGCGGTAAGCCCTTACCCGCAGCATTACCTTCAAACGAAGGGAGAACGCATGGATAAACAGTATCCAGAGAAGCGAACAAAGAATGCCGTACAGAGAAACTAATGTAGAATGCCTAGATAAATACATACTTATTTATATTAAGTTGAAATCAGAAAATGTCTTAGAAGACTAAAATTAATTAAAATTTGTATAAATCAGTTTTTATACATACATGGTAATGTATTTAGGTATTTAGATTTTACTTAGAAATCGGTCTGTACATACATGCATATTTAATTAAGCTTAAAATTGTACTTCCTCACTCTTGTACTTCACTTCATTGACTGACTTCAACTTCGTTGCAAATTGAACAAAGCTAAGCGAGACAAATTTCCACTGAAAGTAACGGTAGAAAAAGAATTCTTGGATATTCATTCTATTTTTCAGCTGACTACGATGTAGCATTCTACTTTGCATTCACCAAAATGAAGCAATGAAGCGAAACAAAAAAAAAAACATTGTAGGACATTCTACTTTGCATTCCCTGAAATGAAGCAAAGAAGCGTAGCAAATAAAATATTGTAGGACATTCTTCTTTGCATTCCCAGAAATGAAGCAAAGAAGCGAAACAAATAAAATATTGAAGGACATTCTACTTTGCATTCCCCGAAATGAAGCAAAGAAGCGAATTAAAAATGAAATAATATAGGACATTCTACTTTGCATTCCCCGAAATGAAACAATGAAGCGAAATAAATTAAATATTGTAGGACATTCTACTTTGCGTTACCGGCAATGCCTAAAAGCGAAAAAATTTNTACTTTGCATTCCCCGAAATGAAGCAAAGAAGCGAATTAAAAATGAAATAATATAGGACATTCTACTTTGCATTCCCCGAAATGAAACAATGAAGCGAAATAAATTAAATATTGTAGGACATTCTACTTTGCGTTACCGGCAATGCCTAAAAGCGAAAAAATTTGAAGGCATTATATCGCTATGCCTTCTAGAACACGTTACCACTAAAAGCGATTACCGATTTTTTGGGATATAGAACTAAACACTTGTTGCCACTTACCCCAGCACTTTCGTTATAAATAAGTGACAATTTACTTTATTTGAGGCGAACTAACCTTTTGCCTCTGTTGAGCCGCTTTTTATCTGCGGTTACGAATCCATCGTGGCAGTACTTTTTGTCTGTGATTCGAAAACTTGACCGATGGTGCCCTTTTATGTTGCAGATGTTTTAGGTCAGATGCTTCCTGCACAATTTGTGGACATGTATATAAAATATGAGGCAAATCTTCTGAGCAGAAGCAGTAGTCGCAGTGATCGTCAGTTATGGCATTTAATTTCTTCATTGTGTTTTTTCCGAAGGTGTGGCGTGATAGAACGCGATTGAGTAACCTGAAGTTATTATTGTCAAGGTCTAGTTTCTTGTTATGAAACCACGGCTTATTACAAAAGTTTTGGAAATATTTCGAAGTAACTTTTCCCCTTCTCAGAACTTGTGTTTACATATGTTTCTTCACATTTTAATTGCAGTCTCCTTCCAACTTCCTTGATAGCATCCGGGATGTTGTTTTTGTTGTAGCAGCAGTCGTGCAGGTGTCGTCTCACGTGTCGTGGCGGCGGTTCGTTTCGAATCAGGGCGGTGTTGGGGTGGTTCTCTCGGTGACAACCCACGAGGTATTGTTTCGACAGCATGGTGTTGTGTTCTTTCACCGCCAGCATCTGGCTTTCTTCATGAAGGTGATGCTCGGACGACATAAGTTTGGAGATTCCTCCATTGGGTGTCGCTTGTCCCTGCCGTCCACACTGGCGCCGCGTAGTTTGCCACTGACTGGCCGATTGCCTTGTAGGTTGCGAGCAGAGTTTCTTTATCGGCTCCGCAGGTGCTGCCGGCTAGCGATTTGAGGACTTTGTTCCCAGCTCGGAGTTGTTGCACGTGGCTGTGGCGTGCGCGGAGAAGAAGAGGCTACCGAACGCCACTCTTAGGAGTTTAGGGTGATTAGTCGTCGGTGTTTTGGCGCCATCGACGAAGACGTCCAGTTCTAGCCCCACCTCCTTGGTCCAGGTTGTAAAGAGTGTGGCGGTGGATTTGATGGCGGAGATTTGGAGGTTCCTTGCAGTGATGAAATTGGAAAGATCGGTGAGATAGTCGGTTATTTGACCGCAAAGTCTGTCGATGTTTG